GAGGAATTTCGTAAAACCATAAATAATATTTTCCGAAACCGCCGCGTATATACAGGATGTCCAAAAAAAGTATGGAATCCTATAATAGCATCAAAACAATCACGGTTTGTTCGAAGCATTTTTTAAAATTATGAGTTAATGGGTAATAAAAAATGCTACAAAATTGCGCGAAAATCGTTGAATTTTTTAGATTAAAATATTCAGATTAAACAAGTCCTTGAAATACCTATTACCTACGACTACAAATTTAGATAAAACCGCACTTAAAGAAATAGGTTTAAAAAAATATTAAAATTATCAATCTTTTTTCATATACTTATCTATACTCTTCAAACAAGATTTACTTATACTATACTCGGTGAATCTAACGAAGAAAATTCAAGACAGCTTTGACTGTTTCAATTCAAAATCCAACCATTTTCATACTTTTTTTTGGACACCCGGTATATAAGCAGTACAATATTCATCATATTCCGCGGAAAGGATGTTATATATTTTTCGGGTCCCGCTTCTCTCGCATTTTACGATACACCGTTGGGTTATTGCGTCATTCGTGGAAAGGTATGCTCCGCTGATAACGGCCGGATTATTGCTCTTATCTCTAATCGTATATATTCGATGTCGCGGTAGGTACAGCATCGGCCAAAATTTTCTATATATTCCATTCGACATATCGCATATGGGACGCGGGAACGTCGAATAATATTTCTCCCACATTTGGTATATTTTTTTTACATCATACATATTATACAGATAAGTGCAAATTTGTTTGGATTTAAAATTTTATGAGTTGGAGAAGGAATTGTTAAAATCACGGTGGTTAGAGTGAGAAAATTGCAATACCATTAGCACTAAATATCAAGCTTTTTTTCTTTTATACGATACTAGAAGGAAGTTGTGTTTGTTGCATACATATAGATAATACAGTCTGTATACTATATTGAGTGTTGCATTTCGAATATTCTAGGGCTTTACTATATTAGTCGATTGGTAGATTTTTTTTGGCTTATTTATTCAAATATTCAATAAATTTGTAAGGTAGACCGGGGCAAATCGGTTGTAAAATTTGAATAGTTCAAATTAAATCCTAAAATGTGGCTTTATCTTTTCTCTTATTAGAAATGCTGATACCACATTAAATTCACAACTTCCTAAACTAAAGAATCGAGGTATTAAAAAGTTTTTTTTGAAAAAGGAAGAAAACGATTTTACATATTTTTTAAAATGTTGACAATATGTTACATTTACCGCATGTAACAAACGGTTCTAAAGAGCCAATACAATTATATAGAAAAACATATGGAGCAATTGTAAATACATATTTGGTTCCTCTAAAATTTGATATATGCTGTTTATTTATTTATTTCAAAAAATAACAGAGCTACAAAATAATAAAGAAAAAATAAGAAACAAACCCTGTCTAATGCACAAAAGAACTATAAAAATAATAAAAACATTAACATAATAGGTAAAAATATTACATTTACCCCATTTTTACATTTGCCCCAGTCTACCTAACTGTATTATTAGGTTATTCAACGTTTCACAAGCAAACATGTTAAGTTTCAAGAAAATTTTCTTCATTTCACACTTTTATTTCAACTCTTGACTCAACTCTTCATGGTAATCATCATGTGTATAAAATATTTAGAAACACAACAAATATTCTCACATTTAGTAGCACTTTTTCGCACTTTTTTTCAACGAAAAAGATCTCACAAAATCTCTAATTTCAATCATTTAATTACTAACTTTCTTGAATTGTTCTTTCCGGAATCCTACTATACAGAGAGAGACGAATCGGGGTATATAAATAAATAGCGAAATGCGCGCGGGGCCCGGTTAATTTGCCTAATAACCGAACAATAGCCGGTAATAGTCGGTCGGCCGATATAAAGTAGGGGTGTAAATCCGCCCTTTTACAAGATAAAGATTCAATCTGTCGTTATTGTATCCCTTTTTCTGGTGTCGGTCACGGCGGGCGAGGCGTGTGTGATTTCAACATATGGCGAATAAATGAGTCCTAATGCCCTGATGCAAGGAGCAGGATTGAGTTGTCTTCTATATATAAATGTATGTATGTATATTTACCAGGAGAAGGGCGATTTCGATAAGCCGCCTTTGCATTTAAAATAGAAATAAAAAATTGTACGAGCGATTTTACAAGATAAATTATGATGTATAAAAGAGAGTGTCACAAGAATAGATAAGTGATAAATCAAATTTCCAATTTTTTTGTTACTCAACTAATGCATCACTTAAAATTGTAACTCATATACTAATAAAACAGATAGTAAGTATCTAATAAATCAATTCAACTATAGGTACCTAATACTTACATAATAATACTCAAAATATAACAATAATAATATTGCGTAATTTCTAATTACACATCAACTCATATAAGGAAGACTGGGGCAAATGTAAAAATGGGGTAAATGTAATATTTTTACCTATTATGTTAATGTTTTTATTATTTTTATAGTTCTTTTGTGCATTAGACAGGATTTGTTTCTTATTTTTTCTTTATTATTTTGTAGCTCTGTTATTTTTTGAAATAAATAAATAAACAGCATATATCAAATTTTAGAGGAACCAAATATGCATTTACAATTGCCCCATATGTTTTTCTATATAATTGTATTGCACTTTAGAACCATTTAGAACCCCATGGTACGGGGTAAATGTAACATATTGTCAACATTTTAAAAAATATGTAAAATCGTTTTCTTCCTTTTTCAAAAAAACTATTTAATACCTCGATTCTTTAGTTTAGGACCTTGTGAATTTAATGTGGTATCAGCATTTCTAATAAGAGAAAAAACAAAGCCACATTTTAGGATTTAATTTTAACTATTCAAATTTTACAACCGACTTGCCCCAGTCTACCTTACAGAAATAAAAATAAAGTGCATTTAGCGTAAATAAAGCGCACAAAGAAAACTCAGGCCGAATCCAATTCTCCAGCGAATATCGAACTCATTAAAATAAATTAAACAGAGGCGCATGCACGTTTCTACTAATCTCAATGGCCAACGGAATAAACTTTTCAATTATACACCGCTCGTACCCCGGGTAAAGAAGAGAGCCCTATTCACTCTCCCATAAAAATCAAAACATCGGCGGGAATGGGGGCGCAAATGCGGCCGGTGGGCGAGAGCCGGAGCGAGCGGTCCCCCAGGAGGGGCTCCGCGCACCAAACTAGCGGAGTACTCGAGCCTACGCCCGGCCCGATCTCGGGGGAATAGGCGAAATTGCATAAACACAAATAATAATAAAGTTGTATCGATTGATCGGTTAATTCATATAAGTGGGGCGTTTATAGGGATGCGGATTTATGAATTAAAAATAATATAGGAAAATGTTGGTGTTAATTTATAGTTTTAAGGTGTTGTTCTAGTAGGTACCTATTTGGTTCTGGTCTGGTGGAATTGTTGGGATTTTTTCTTGAAAAAGTTATGTTGGGCAATGTTGGAAAGTTGCAGGAGATTTGCAGGAAGGATAGTTTCACTATATTTTGAGTAATTTCTGAATTTCTGAGCATTTTCTAAGCATTTTCTGAGCAATTTCTGAGTAATTTTTGAGTCAGTTCTGAGTTATTTCTGTGTAAATTCTGAGTAACTTCTGAGCAATTTCTAAGGCTATAAATAATATGAAAATCTTAAAATTTCTCTTTCAGTGGCTGTAATTTAATAGAAAAAAAAATATCTAATAACAATTGGGGAGAAGGATGATACAGGAAAATATGTAGAAAAAACATGAAATAAAATAAATTATATAATAAAAAATGAGGGCGAATCTAATTTTAATCGTAGTTTGAAAAATGAGAAATTGTCTTAAAAAAATTGAGCAAATTGGTACACATTTCAACAGCAAAAAATTCGAAATTTTCAAATATAAATAAACGAACAAACTGACACACATTTACAAAATTTTCAGCACACATTCCGAACTTTAGTAATTATATTTATGTTAGAAATAATCAAGTTTACTATAGTATAACCAGAAAAATATTTCCAATCATCAGATGGATCGATGGAAAGTTTACTGCCTGATTTTTCTTGGGTTCTTCAAGAGCACGATGAGAGAAAAAAAGAAAATGTTATATAGAAAGGCGGTATATTATATAAGGATGCAGGCGGTAAGATCCGGGATCCGGGGGAAAAGATATATCTACGAGATTGAAATATTCTAATATCGAACAGTCTGTTTGCACAGAGCGAGGCAATGAAATATTAAATCTCGGCTCAGACGATTTCAATTTCTGCCTAAGTACCCACTATTTAAAAATACCTATACTATAGAGAAACAAAACTATTACAACAAAAATTTCATATGTGAGTATATTTTTAATTAATATCACCGAACCATATGCCTCCTTTAACGTCGACACAAATCGCAGATAAAACGCTTCGATACCATCGAAAAACTCAAAAATCAACACCGTTTAATTTCCTTTCCGCCCTTTTCCCTATACAAAACAGAAATTATCACGCGGCTTTTTTGTGAATCAACGCCACACACGGAAAAAAATAAATTGATAATTAATACAAATCTGGGTTTGTTACAGCGTTTCACTACAAACTACTAAAAAAAATTGTTTCCGTTACTGAACTACCGTAACTATGACAAACCCTGGTTAGAACTGTAACAAAGTATATTTAGCAACTCAAAATTAAGATAAATTACTTTTGGTAACAAACCGATTTGTATCGAACTCAAACTTCCTTTCTTAATGGCCATTAAACAAACTAATTTTGTAATGATTACTAAACCATTTCGTTAGACATTTAAAATCTAACAGATTTCTTTTCTCTCGGGTTTTTTCGCCAATTACAAGGAACCCTACGATCAGGCGATCGACCGAATCGACTTGCGTACCACGAAATAAAACAAAGGGACTATTAGTTTAGTCTACTTCTCGGCTGTTAGACAAGGCATGAAGGACGCTAGTAAAAACGTGGCCTGTGAATGTGTGAATACTAAATTTGTGGTGCGTTATGGATGAATTATTGAAATCTTGGGAGTTGGAGGAAGTGTCTAATATATGTAAAGGTAATTATCAAACTCCTTATTCTATTACATACGTAGGTAATGTTTATTTCAAGATTATCATATCATGTTATCATGTTTCACATATAGCCGGTGAAAAAGTTATTTGTGTACTGTTCAGACTGTTATTTTAATATGGTGTCGGCAAAAAAAGAGTTTATTAATAAACAAATCCTTTATTGTTCGCGTATACCTATTTGTAATTAATAAAATTAGTAAAACGTGAGTAGTTTCTAACGAATTATTTTTAGAGCATCATATTGACTTTAAGAGCATACACCTTTTAAAATACGAATCGTTGTCGATGATACCTCTGGGACTTAGATTGCGATTTTGGGAGAAAATACAAGCCTGTCTGCCCCATAACATTCCAAGATGTAAGTATACTAGTAATAATTATTTTAATTATTATTTACCTATTTATTAATCATAAATAACTAAATTATTTAAGAGGATATATTTTGCATATTTATTTTCAGGATGAAAGGCCTGGAACATCATCCAGTACTAGTACTGATAGTACAATTATTAGTGCTTCAAGCAGCAACCTTACGAACACTGAAGATATTAATGATACATTAACGGAACTAACGGATACTTTTGTAATAAAAACTATAGATGAAATTTGTACTCAAACTCCAATAGAGAATACTTCATCTCCATTAGACAACATTAAAGCTTTACTGAATGATTCTGTAAAGGGAAAATACATTTTAGCCTACTACAATAAAGTCGGTCATTTCAATAGGGAAGTAAGACAAAAATTAGTGGAACTTGTTATCGACAACCTTTTGAAAGATGATCTAACCAAAAGGTATGTACTGAAAATAAATAAAATTTAATGTATTGCTTTATTTTGCTAACATATAGATTTTATATTAGAATTCCATCCTCAGTATTTGAAGCAGTTGCACTTTAAATGGTATTACCTACAAGCCTGCGTTAATTTTACAAACTGGCAATGATGAATATACACCACAGTTCGGTATGATACAGTATATTGTTTTCAATCTTCATCACCAAATATTCTTTTGCTGTAAAAAACTGATCATTTTATCCTTTGATTATCATTACCATGCTTTTACTGTAGAGGTAACAAATGAATTTTTTGAAATTCCATTTGAACAATTAGCTGTTCCTTTTGTTAATAACCTTATTAATATGAACAGCAAATTGTATATTTCTGAAAGGAATCAATCTTTTTAAGCTAAAGTTTGTGTTTTATAGTTTTATATATTTTATTTTTTTACCTAAATTTATGTACTTACCTATATTATTTCGTTATTTGCTACTTTTTTAAGTACCTGTACTAAAAGTACAACTTTTAAATACTTGTAAATTATTTGTATTATCTGTATATTTATACTAAATATACGAGTTTAACTCTGTAGGTATGTAACTCTGTTGTATTATAGGTACCTGTATTTGTACAAAATTTATATTTTTCTAAATAAATAAATGTTTATTGCTAATGCATATTTTTTATACCAAAACCAATTTTTTTAGTAATCTCTACATAACCATTTTATAATCCTTACAAAATTAATTTAGGAACCGCGACAAAATAAATTTAATAGATACGCCAAAACAAATATAGTAAAGCCAGCAAAATAAATTTGACATTCCTAATAGAGCCGTTTATATTTGCTTACAAAACAGTTTCATATCTGCCACTAAACTCGTTTAGTAAAAAAAATGGTTCTGTAACGACAACAAATGTCGGTTTAGTAACCTGTACTAAAATTTTTAGTTCCATATACTTGAATAAGGTTTATAAATGTGATTAGTCCTGTACACAAAACTTCTAGCTGTCCATATAGCAACAAAACTCTTATGCTGTAGTCACTAGCTTTTAGTGACTGCAGCAAATCTTTTTTTCCCGTGCATATGGCGCGTATACAATCATTAAAAATGTACCTGTCTTTTATCAATTACATTCCACCTACATTTATATAACGTGCAGAAAAATAAAAAATAAAACAACTAACCCATTACCCCCCGTATTGTATAACCCACATAAAATAAGACTATATTTTTCCTCCTACGTCGCATTATGTAATTTATTATTTACGAAGCTTTGATGTAATCAACGAGGGTTAAATGTTTGATACTCGGTAGAAGTCATGCGAACGCCATTTAGACATGACACGACAGGTGGAAGTGTTTTAGTCCAAAAAAAAAACTGAATAGTATTCCTCTAACATGCATTACATTATAACTTATACTTTATTGATTGATTGTGTATTGATTGATTCATGTCTATAATAACCTATTGATTTATTTTATTATAAAAATGTGCAAAAAATTCAGTTTTCGTATAACCCAAACTTCAAGCGATCCCAATATGACAATACTGGTGAATATATCTCTCGAGCCTCAATCGACGTTGTCCTCTTAAACCCACCCCTGCTATCGATAATACCGCGTCACAGGTCGATTGAGCGGAGAACAAAAAAACAAAACAAAAAAAAAATATAAAATAAAATCGAAATAAGCGGTTTATTATTGCGGGAGCGCTCTCAATGCGCCCCGGCCGCCGAACAAAAGGGCCTCTTCGGCCTTTTCTCTTCGTTCTCTATCGTCTCTCCTATATGATATTAAGGCTTTTCGCTTTCGCGACCCGCTCGAATCGCCCGTCAGAGGGCGCTTCTCTCTCGCACTCGATCTCCGCGTTTTTCATCCGACAGATGATCAAGTATTATTTGTGCATCGGGATCTTCGACGATCCTAGAGAGAGGGAAACGCGCAGGAAAATTAACAAGGGAGGGATCATGTACAGGGCGTCGCGAAAATCCGTCACCAAAAGTGCTTCAAATCGTCTTGTTTTCCATTTTCCTCTCACCAGGTATAGCCTCTACTTAAGCCATATATGTCCCAAGTTTTTTGCGACACCCTGTATATACCAGTAGGTACCAACCAAAAGAACTAAATTAAGCAACAGTATCGTATGATGTAAAGGCGCGGGGACACATATCAAGTAGCTAAAGCGAGTTACTGAATCAAGTAACTAAATTTAGTTACTTTTATGTCCCAAGTTTTTTGCGACACCCTGTATATACCAGTAGGTACCACCTAAAGAACTAAATTTAGCGATAGTATCGCATGATGTAAAGGCGCGGGACACATATCTAGTAGCTAAAGCGAGTTACTAAATCAAGTAACTAAATTTAGTTACTTTTATGTCCCAAGTTTTTTGCGACACCCTGTATATACCAGTAGGTACCAACCAAAAGAACTAAATTAAGGAACAGTATCGTATGATGTAAAAGCGCGGGGACACATATCAAGTAGCTAAAGCGAGTTACTAAATCAAATAAATTTAGTTACTTTTATGTTGTAGACAACTTGGTTTAGTAGTTTACTAAATTAGGTAGGGACTTGCACGAGTTAGTAGTTACTAAATCAAGTTGTCCACATCATGCAAGTAACTAAATTTAGTTACTTGATTTAGTAACTTGCTTTAGCTACTTGATTGGTGCTCCGTTAGATGATGAGACTTTTATTCGTACCTATAATAAGTATAGAATTCAATACAATTCAATACGATGACAAAAAAAATAAATATATATACAAACGCGGGGGTGGTAAGTAACGCATTGGGGGGTGCGGAAAACTCATAAACGCCGCGATCATCCGACGGATATAATTTGTATTGGCCAGATTTACGCCCCGGGGCAATGTAATGAACACACAATTGTCGGCTTAAGTTTGATTGCGCCCCCGGGGGTGGAAGGATTTCGCCTCTCTCTACCCTCGCGGCGTAAACGCTGCGAACCAAGGGGGATGAAAGGGCTCTCGCTTATTCAATATTAAACGGCGGGTGTTTCGTGTAGCCGGTCGGGCTCGCGGGGCTCTTCCCGAGGAAGCGAAAAAAGGGAAGGCCCCTTACAAGAAAAACAGAATAAGATACACCGGTGTATATATGAAGCGGGTGGCGGACGCGCGACCTCGGGGGTGGTTTTGCGATTTAGGTTATAGTATTTAGTATAGTTTTTACGAATAAATAAGGGTTGATTGTATCATTCGATTGTTATCAACGCACTGTACTATATTAATTACGGCGGTAAATTGAGTGCCAAAATAATATAGTAGATATATTTATTACCAGAAAGTTTATAACAGGGGGTTTTTAAATCTGTGAGTAAATTGGGCGCGAGAATATTTCTGGTATAGAAAAGGGGAGTATTTTTGTGTTCATTGTAAAGTTTTTCGGTGTAGAGTAGATTCAGAGTAGAGTAGAGTACAAAAGGGTAAGGTATGAGAAGTTCTCGGCCTGACAATGAGAGATCGCGAATTTCAGTTGAAAAATTTCATTATTCTTCTTATTAAGTCGAAATCTTTAGTTCTATAGACATTTCTAAATGATTCTGCAGCGTTCGAATTGGTTCTGAAGCATTCTAAATGTTTCTAAACAGTTCTAAATGATTCTAGAGCGTTCTAATTGGTTATGAAGTGTTCTAAATGGTTCTAGATAGTTCTAAATGATACTATGGAGCGTTCTAATTGGTTCTGAGGCATTCTAAATGTTTGTAAACAGTTCTAATTGGTTCTGAAGCATTCTAAATGTTTCTAAACAGTTCTAAATGATTTTGGAGCGTTATAAATGGTTCTAGACAGTTTTAAATGATTTAGGAACGTTATAAATGGTTCTAGACAGTGTTTTTAAATGATTTAGGAGCGTTCTAGATTGTTCTAAGCAGTTCTAAATGAATCAGATCGACAACTTTTCACCCTACACTCGTATAGTTGAGTAGAATAGATTCGAGTAGAGTAGATCCAGAGTAAAGCATAGATTTAGAGTAGATTATACAGACTCAGAGTGGAGTACTCGTAGAGTAGAAAAAATACTCCAGTTTAGAACGATCTTTAATGCTCCACGATCAATTTACCTATAACATTAAAATCTATACAGTCACTAACAATCCAATTTACCTACTTCCTTTATTTCATTAATTATTCATCTAATTAAGATATTACCTGTGGTATTATCGAGACACTTAAAAAGGCCCATCTGCGGCGGGCGAATTATTAAAAGGGGGCTCCCTCTATATATTAAATTAAAAGCAACTTTGATTGACGTGACGATGTGGGCGAGCAAAAGAAGGGGGCGCGCGCGTGTCCCCCCCTTCCTGACTATATAACCCCCTTTATATTCCTTTGCTTCATCGGCCACCCCGCTCTTTATAAGGTCTTTATTAACGTTTATTGCCTTGTTTTTCCTTCTGGCGTTATTTTATTACGTTTTGAATGTATATGGGAGGGACGAGAGAAAAGACTTATTAATATAATTAACATAATTAAATAGGTACTTACTGTTCGACGGGAGAATTGATTTTATAAGAAAAATCAAGTGTGCTGTGTATTTGTTACTGCGCATGTGACCTTGTCAGTTCGAGCTATTCGTATCGATCTGTAACCATAATAAATTTCAATTTTATAATAATAAACCGATAATTAAACTAAATAGATATGTTTGTTTAACCTGTAAACAAAATTTCGAGCTTCCTCGTGTTTTTAAACAAACATATACCTACTGTACGTAAAATAGTAAAATGTAATTTTATTTAATTTGTCGATATTTGGACGCTCCGTTGGGCGTGCATTGTGTTCTATTCAAATGAATATTTACCAAACAAACAGCAATCTACGAATAAACAGGCAGTCAACACAGAAATTTTCGGTATCTAAACATCGCAAAAAAGGTTAATTGACTTGTTTTGAAAAGGAGATACCTGTACCTGATGAATGAAACTTCAAGCCTATTTCTAAAGAGATTTTTTCCACTCCACCAGTTACAAATTTACTCCATTTATT